CCCCGCTGCGCAGTGCCGCCTCCACCGCCTCTCCTACAAACCCAGACGACGACCCAGACTCCTCCGACGACGGCTTCCTCTCCGATCACAGCGAAGAGCTACATCCAGAGACCGGCTTCGATCCTTTCCTCGCTGCCACCCGCAGAGCAAGGCAAGAATCCCTCTCAACCCCCTTGCAGCCCGCCGACTCCCAAGCATCCGTCTCCTCCCTGTCCCTCTCATCCCCCTCCAGCTCCAACGAACAGATCGTCCCGAGCTCATCATCGGCCCACGACGCCGCACAAGACGAAATCCACCGCTGGTCCCGCATCGCAAAGTACTGGAGCAAGGTCGTAGACGACGCCATCTTCCACCACAAGCAGCCAAAGCAGGGCACCATCGATCTCACAAGCAAAAACATCACCCACATCCTACCCATCATCGCAGACCTCTCCCGCTTCGTCGCCCTGCCCCCGCCCCGCTACGATCGCGACGACAACGACGAAAACGCTCGCACCCCCATCCCAGACCCTCACAGCCTCCTCCAGTCCAAGACAGGCGGCTTGGTCCGTCACGAGTCCTACCTCGCCCCCTTCAGCGCCCACATCAACAACGACGCCGCCACCACCACCGCCACCACCTCCAATCGCACCCTCGCTCGCAGCCAGTCCGCCTTCCAACCTAGCCTCGCACGCAACCACTCCTTTGCACGCACCACCAGCGCCATGTCCGCTCTCAGCTCCCGTTCCGCAGGCTCCTATCGCGATCATCGCGACCGTCAGGCGACTCTCAGCATCTTCCTCGGCTCCAACGCCCTCACTCGCCTCCCCAGCGCCCTCTTCCAGCTCCAGAACCTCCGCGTCCTCTCCCTCCGCTCCAACAAGCTCAAGTTCCTCCCGCCCGCCATCGGCGACCTCCACAACCTCTCCGAACTTCACGTCGCCAACAACGAACTCCAGCACTTTCCCGCAGAGATCCTCCGCCTCAAACTCGACGTCTTCACCTGGTTCCCCAACCCCTACTTGGTCAAGCCGCCCAACACCGGCGTCCTCACCGTCCGTCCCCTTCTCTGTCATCGCGCACAACGCGTCCGACAGCACCACTCCTACGGCCACGCCACCGCCGAGCTCGACGACGTTCAAGAGGACGACGCCGCCTCATCCACCACCCCGGTCAGAGACGCCCATGCTTCCTCCGCCGCTCCCAGCCTCTATCTGCCCATATCCAACCAGCCACCGCCCCTCATCCGCGACCCAGCTACCGCCTCCGGCCGCTACAACAGGCACCTCGACCGCACACGCTCCGACATGCAGGTAGAAGGCTTCCTCGCAAGAGGCATCGATCAGCTTCGCGTCGGCGAGTTCGACTCCATCTCTGAACACGACAACGACGCCAGCATCGACGAAGCAGACTCTACCATCGACGCCGACGACACTGCTCAGCACGCCGACTCCATCGCCGCTCAACCGCAAGACCAAGCCGAGCTGGACCGACAGCGCATCCTCGAGGCTGCCTTTGCCGACGACGATGGCATCCCCACCGACGACTTTGACCTCACCCCTTCCACCGACCGCGACCACGCTCACCGCGGTAAAGTACCCGGCCGATCACGCGTGCTCGGTCCCAAAGACGTCGGCGGCTTGCCCACCTTGCTCGAACTCTGCATCCGCAGGCTGCTCGACCCCTACGACACCACCCACGCAGACGCGCCCGTCTCCGCATCGCCTTTCCTCTCTCCCATCGTCCACACCTCGGACGGCCCCAAGCGTCGACGCAGCAGTGGCGTCAGCAGCAGGAGCGCCTCTCGCACCGGAACGCCCCTTTTCCAGCCGCAACAGCGCGACCGCACCGCTTCCTTCGGCTCCAACGCCTCACGCACCCGAAGCTTCAGCTCCAACGGCGGTCCCGAAGACACCAAGTTCGGCAAGCGCATCCCCACGCTCCTCGAGGCCTACGAGAACGGCACGCTGCAGAGCATGATGGGCGAGCTCGGCCACGGTCTCGTGCCCATGCTCGAGGCGGCTCGTCGCAGCGCCACCCAGGATTGGGGCACAAGAGCCAGGGTGCGCAGCTCCTCCACGGCCGCCGCCCAAAGGCAAGCCACCGCGCGCGCCCCGTCGGCCACCCCGGACGCGGCCACCACGGATGAGGTGCAAGACGTTTTCGGTGGCGTCGATGCGCCCGGCTCGCTCGACCGCGGCGACGATGCCTGCCACAATCCGTGGTACTCACGATGCCCCAACCCGAGCCACTGCGATGACCACCTCGACCGCACCAAGCCCAAGCGCGACATTGCGCTTCACCGCGCCAAGCGAGGCTTCGGCTCCACCAGCAGCGTCTCCAGCCTCGGCACCACCCTGGGTGGCAGCGGCAAGCACGACTCGGAAGCCGCCGACATGGAACGCGTGCCGTCCACCGCCGCAAGCTCAGACAGCGGTGCGGGCGCTTCCTCTCCGCTGTCGTCCAGCGTCTCATCCTCGACGGGCACAGTCGGCGGCGCACCACCTTCCGCCAGCCTCTTTGGTCAGCAGGTGAGGTTCTCGGCATCCACCTCGCAGCGAGGCTGGGGCTCGTCGAGCTTCAGCCGCACGTCGTCGTTGCGTCACGCCGATACTGGTCTGCTGTCTGGCGGACGAGGCTCCACATTCGGGCCGAGTCGCGGCATGGCTCGGCCCTCGAGCACCCAGTTTGTGCGCGGCTTTTCCAGCTCCTCGGTGTTGTCCGCGTCCGGTTTGATGCGCAATGCATCGTTTGCGCCCGCAGTCGAGGCGGATGAGGCGCAGCGCGATTGGCCGCTCACCGAGCACGAGCACCGGCGCGCGCCCGTGTTCAGCACGCCGGGCGAAACGCGCATCGAGTGGATCTCGCACATCGGCGGCATCCGCGTCGCCAAGCTCGGCGAGGCGCAAGTGGACCTCGATGGGGAGGCGACCGAGAGCGCTACCGCCGATGCTGGCCATCCCAGCATGCTGGGTGCCATGGGCGCGTTTGATGACAAGGATCTGCTGCCCATCCTGTGGCGCGGCTGCAGTCGTGGATGCCTCGATTTCTTGGTCTGACACACAATGCCTGGCCCGGCAACTCTTTCACCTCGCACAGTCTTGCACATGCAATGTCATCCACACTTTGAAACAGTCCTGGAGGGGGATGAGGGATGAAGACTTGATTGGGTTTTTTTTAGAGCGCATGCACTTCGAACACGATCAGGGTTTCGGGGAGGAGGTTGGGTACTTGGATGCCGACGGTTGCGAGCATCTGGCCGGTGAGGGTGCAGGGCTGGTTGGCGTGTAGCCAGGGCAGATCTGACTGGCCCACAAACGAAGCCTGGTCGGTGGGTGGGGTGTTGACCATCTTGATCGTATACGTCCGATCATAGTCTAGACCGGGGAAAGTGACGGGGGCGGGGGGATAGGTTTGGGACGTGTGGACCTGGACATAGGTGTAGATGGCCTTTTGCGCATCTTTTGCCACGACACCTCGTACATCTGCGCCCGTCTCCCGCGGCAGATCAGCATAGACAGCACGACCGGTATGAACGACGTGGCGCCACTTCTTGTGTAGCTGAATCCACTCCCTAACCTGGTCCAACTCGTTCGACCCCACCTGGCTAAGGTCCCATTCGATACCCATGTGTCCGAGCAGGGCTACGCCCGCGCGCAAATGGAGGCCATGCGTTCGACCGGTGGTATGGCTGTTTTCCGGACCCATATGTGCGCCCATAAGCTCGTTGGGCACAAGCAGGTTGGTGTACTTTTGGATGGTGAGTCGTTCGAGCGGGTCGGTGCAATCGCTCGTCCAAATCCGATCCGTCCTTTCCAGAATCCCAAAGTCCACCCTCGCCCCACCAGAAGCACAACTCTCGATCTCCAACCCACCATGACGCTGCTTCAGCACATCCATCAGCCTGTACACTGCGAGGGTGTTGTTGTGAACAGCAGCACGGCCATCCACCCCGCCCGCTTCGAGCAAATCCCGATTATGGTCCCACTTGAGATAGCGGATCATCGGATGCTGCGTCAGGATATCATCCAAGCATTTGAAGATGTACTCGAATGCCGAGGGGTTCGAGAGATCCAAAACGTACTGGCTGCGTCCAGCAACCGGCAAACGGTTGGAATCGGGTCGCAGGATCCAGTCGGGATGTTTCCGTCCCACTTCGGGATCGAGGTTCACCATCTCGGGTTCCACCCACAATCCACACTGCATGCCGAGCTTGTCAACATGGTCCCATAGCGGCTGCAAACCCTCGGGCCAAACGGTACGATCTACGAACCAGTCTCCCAAACCAGCCGTATCATCGCGTCGACCGTTGAACCAGCCATCGTCGAGAACAAACCGCTCGGCGCCGACCGAGGCCGCAGCATCAGCGATCGCCTTGAGCCGGTCAAGGCGCATGTCAAAGTACACCGCCTCCCACGTGTTGATCGTCACCGGACGCGGGGCGATCGGATGGTGGGCGCGATGTCGTAGGTGTTGGTGGAATCGGTGCGAGAGCTGCGAAAGCCCGTGGCCCCACGAACCAAGCGCCACGGGGGTCGTGTACGTCTCACCGGGGAGCAGCGTGATCTCGCCCGGCTCGAGCAGCTCGCCTGCCTGGAGGAAGGAAGAGTAGCTCGGACCGCGTTCGGCCGTGATGCGGTGGTTGCCACTCCAGGCGAGATGCACAGCATGCACCAACCCCCGCTCGAATCCGAAACCAGGCGTACCGGCAGCCACGACCAACGTTGCGTCGGCACCTGGTCGTCCGCGTCGCGACTCGCGCACATGCCTACCCACCGTGAACCCATGGCGCTGCGGCTGCCGCTCGCGAAGATGTCGACCTGTCGTGTCCAGGATCTCGCGCGCCGACGATGGCACCGGAAACGACACCGCCACATCGTAAACCTGCAGCCCCTCCCTACCGTCCGTGTTGGTAACGCTGATCTGCTGGCTCAGCAACCCGCTCTGCGTCACCTCGAGCGCGATCTTCACCTGCACGCCGTCCGGGTCGCTAGCACGCACTGCGACCGAGCTGTCCGTCTTGTCGATGCTTTCGACGGTGAAGTTGAAGCAGAACTGGCCCGAGGTGCGCAGCATCGTAGCCCCAGGAGTGCCCTGCCATCCCTGCCACGCCAGAGGCAGCAGGCTCAGTCGCGGCGAGCGTTCGAGGCCACCGCTAACCGCCTGGGTGCGCGTCACCAGCGCGACGCTCTCGAGCACCGCCTGCGAAGCGTTCTTGATCTCGGCACCCCAGTACGCGATGATGGGCATCTCGCTGATGCAGTCAAGCACCACACTGGTGCCTCCATTGCACAGGTGGATAATCGAATTGTTTGCGTCCATGGTGTTTGGTCCAATCGGAGTATGGAGTACGGAAGCAAAGACGGCAACACGATCCGCAGGCTAAATGGACCCCTTCCTACCGGGTGCGGTGCCCCGCAACAGACTGGTGCCGCACGGACCTCGCTTGGAGGACGTCGCTACATGACGCTGCTGGTGGACCACGCTGCTTGTGGCCGTGCGCAAGTAATGGGTCACACCAACGCCGGCCAAATGCGACCGAACACCGGCTGAGTTTCGCCGAGATCGGCACGCTGACGGAACGACGGACCACGACCAACGCCGAATGCCGATGTGCGAACACTGCCAAGGCATCAAGAGCCTCGGTACGTCGAGCGGCCAACTCGGCTTGCGTACGCAAGGGCCAACGAGCTCAAGTCCGAGATGGGCCGTAGTCCKTAGTCCGTAGTCCGCGGCCGAAAGTCCGACAGGGTCAGGACGAGCAAGCGGCTAAAAGAATAGACGACGAACAGGACACCTTTTACGCTGGGGCTCTGCTATGGGAGCCAGGCGAAGGCCGGCCAGTGCCGCGATTCAAGCGCCGCCAAGGCGACTGATGTTGATCCCGAGACCTCGTCAACGCATCGCGAGGATGTGCTTGGGGTCTTCGGCTCGCTTGCGTCGCGTGGGGCAGTTTCCGCACCGAGGTATGTCCGCTTCGCGTACCTCAGCAGGGCAGCCTCGCCAAAACCCTGCGCAACTTCGCCTGAGCCCGTCCAAGACCGCATGACACTTGGCGCGGCCAAAGCTCGGTCGAGTCGGCTTCTTGGCCTGCTTTGCGCGCATACTCCCCC